TGCTGCTGCTAACATGCGCGCACACACACAGCAAAAAGCTGTAATGATGACACGTCCACATATTGCACTACTCTACACAAATATGCTCTTGAAGATGGCCAAAAGTATGTTGAAACTGCCTTATGAATGGGTTTCACTTTAGTGAAGATGAAACTTATTGTTGCACTCTAATAAATACTGGGTTAAATACAACCCAGTGCTGGGTAAAATATGGACAAAGCCAGCGATTGGGTTGTTTTCAACCAACAGTTGGGTTAAATGTTTAACCCAACCTTCTGGGCAGTAACCCAATCGCTGGGTTTGTCCATATTTTACCCAGCACTGGGTTGTATTTAACTCAGCATTTTTTTGAGTGTATGGAATACAATGCTTTCCAAGAACTTTTATGTTCCAGCTTGACGATGAACAGGGTTTCTGCAGGATTTTTAAGCTCAAATTTAAGACCTTTTTAAGACCTGCACAAATAAAATTAATACCATATGAGCGGGGTAGGGCAATGTCAATAGTACCATATTAAACTGTAAAAATACTGTACAAAAAATGATATCTCGATAATTTTCTGGGATTTTATCGATAACGATAATTAGACAATATTTTGCTGAGTGTGTTATTGTGCTGATACATTATCTCTAATTGTGCTGACAGCTGACTCATTAATTTTTTTGATATTCTTCATATTCTGTGTGGTCAGTTCACAGCAGTGATAGAAATTAATAATTTTTATGGGCATTTTTACCTTAAGCCATTTTTTTCTAAAAGTGTGCACCATGGAGTCATTGCGTTTGAACTGAATCATTTAAACGGTTGATTCATTCAGGAACAAAACAGCATCCTGTTGCTCAGAGACGCAAAACAGCGCTGTTGCTGTGTTTGACATGATTTTTGTTGGAGAAATAGAGCAAAAACAGGAAATATGGTGTCTAAAACGTAAGTCTCTTACTTATTGTTTATGTAACTGTTGTATAAAATCAATGTCACATTTGTAATCATGCTGACTTTTGGAGAAAAAAAACGGATATTAACTCTATGAAATGATATAAATATATACATTTTCTGCCCCATAACCTCGAATTATGTGATAATTCTAAATGCATTTTAATAGACTGATTCATGCAGTGAAAGAACACAGTAATGCGCACGCGCACTAATCTAACCTGCTAGACTTAATCATCTAATGTATGCGCGCACTCTGCAGGTGTTTTGTTTGCTTTTCGCGATATACTCGATAATATCAAATCACACATCATTAAAAAACAATTACGATATTATCGCAGACCATCGCACACCCCTACTATTTAGATTTTTATAATGCGTTATCTTCTTATCGATCCACCAGTTCACATTTAAAGCTCTGCGTGTTTGCAGGGTAAAAACATAGGTCGATTTTTGCATTTGTCTGAACTCTGAACAAAACATCAGTTTTATTGAAAATGCTCATTCATTCTCTGTCAGCAGGTGGAGCGTTTGGTTGAAATATAACTGTTTCCCCGGTAACGGCAGAACACAAAGCAGTGCAGCACCGGACTTTGAACCTGCAGCGCTCATGCTTATTTAATGAAATCATAGCCTTTTGAAGTTTAATCGTCACATTCAGCCATATCGCAATTCTGGTCTTTCCGTCCCCAAATTTAAGACCTCTTGAAATCATAATTAAGACTTTCTTGTACAATTTAAGACTTTTTAAGGCCTTAAATTTGATACAACTAAATTTAAGACTTTTTAAGACTTTTTTAAGACCCGCGGAAACCCTGGATTCTTTAGGGTCTTAATGAAAAGTCTGTAACATAATTTGGTTAAAATTTCTCAATGGTAGTGTAAAAAACACCTTTTTACCCTGTCAAAAATAGCTCTTTTCAGAGCATGCAGATTTGTAGCATTTTCCTTTAAATGTTAATGAGCTCTGCTGACCCCGCCCCTCTCTTCTGAGCCGCTCTCTCAGAGACTGTTTACTTTAGCCGCATTCATCGTGAAACTTGCTAACTAGCACATTATTAG